TTTATTTACATTGATTTTCCATTCTGTTTTCATTGCACCCCAATATTTTTGCATTTATTTACATTGATTTTGCATTTATTTACATTGATTTTGCATTGTTTTCATTGCACCACAATATTTTTGGATTTATTTACATTGATTTTGCATTCTATTTCCTTTACACCCCAATATTTTTGCATTTATTTACATTGATTTTGTATTTTATTTCCATTGCACCCCAATATTTTTGCATTTATTTACATTGATTTTGCATTCTGTTTTCATTGCACCCCAATACTTTTGCATTTATTTACATTGATTTTGCATTTATTTACATTGATTTTGCATTCTATTTCCATTGCACCCCAATATTTTTGCATTTATTTACATTGATTTTGCATTCTATTTCCTTTACACCCCAATATTTTTGCATTTATTTACATTGATTTTGTATTTTATTTCCATTGCACCCCAATATTTTTGCATTTATTTACATTGATTTTGCATTCTGTTTTCATTGCACCCCAATATTTTTGCATTTATTTACATTGATTTTGCATTTATTTGCATTTATTTTGCATTTTATTTCCATTGCACCCCAATATTTTTGCATTTATTTACATTGCTTTTGCATTCTATTTCCATTGCACCCCAATACTTTTGCATTTATTTGCATTGATTCTGCATTCTGTTTCCATTGCACCCCAATACTTTTGCATTTATTTGCATTGATTTTGCATACTATTTCCTTTGCACCCCAATACTTTTGCATTTACTTGCATTCTATTTCCATTGCACCCCAATACTTTTGCATTTATTTGCATTGATTTTGCATACTATTTCCTTTGCACCCCAATACTTTTGCATTTACTTGCATTTTATTTCCATTGCACCCCAATACTTTTGCATTTATTTGCATCAATTTTGCATTTTATTTCCATTGCACCCCAATATTTTTGCATTTATTTACATTGATTTTGCATTTATTTACATTGATTTTCCATTCTGTTTTCATTGCACCCCAATACTTTTGCATTTACTTGCATTGATTTTGCATTCTATTTTCATTGCACCCCAATATATTTGCATTTATTTACATTGATTTTGCATTTATTTACATTAATTTTGCATTCTATTTCCATTGCACCCCAATATTTTTGCATTTATTTGCATTGATTTCGCATTCTATTTCCATTGCACCCCAATATGTTTGCATTTATTTACATTGATTTTGCATTTATTTACATTGATTTTCCATTCTGTTTTCATTGCACCCCAATATTTTTGCATTTATTTACATTGATTTTGCATTTATTTACATTGATTTTGCATTGTTTTCATTGCACCACAATATTTTTGGATTTATTTACATTGATTTTGCATTCTATTTCCTTTACACCCCAATATTTTTGCATTTATTTACATTGATTTTGTATTTTATTTCCATTGCACCCCAATATTTTTGCATTTATTTACATTGATTTTGCATTCTGTTTTCATTGCACCCCAATACTTTTGCATTTATTTACATTGATTTTGCATTTATTTACATTGATTTTGCATTCTATTTCCATTGCACCCCAATATTTTTGCATTTATTTACATTGATTTTGCATTCTATTTCCTTTACACCCCAATATTTTTGCATTTATTTACATTGATTTTGTATTTTATTTCCATTGCACCCCAATATTTTTGCATTTATTTACATTGATTTTGCATTCTGTTTTCATTGCACCCCAATACTTTTGCATTTATTTACATTGATTTTGCATTTATTTACATTGATTTTGCATTCTATTTCCATTGCACCCCAATATTTTTGCATTTATTTACATTTATTTTGCATTTATTTTCATTTATTTTGCATTCTGTTTTCATTGCACCCCAATATTTTTGCATTTATTTACATTGATTTTGCATTTATTTGCATTTATTTTGCATTTTATTTCCATTGCACCCCAATATTTTTGCATTTATTTACATTGCTTTTGCATTCTATTTCCATTGCACCCCAATACTTTTGCATTTATTTGCATTGATTCTGCATTCTGTTTCCATTGCACCCCAATACTTTTGCATTTATTTGCATTGATTTTGCATACTATTTCCTTTGCACCCCAATACTTTTGCATTTACTTGCATTCTATTTCCATTGCACCCCAATACTTTTGCATTTATTTGCATTGATTTTGCATTTATTTGCATTTATTTTGCATTTTATTTCCATTGCACCCCAATATTTTTGGATTTATTTACATTGCTTTTGCATTCTATTTCCATTGCACCCCAATACTTTTGCATTTATTTGCATTGATTCTGCATTCTGTTTCCATTGCACCCCAATACTTTTGCATTTATTTGCATTGATTTTGCATACTATTTCCTTTGCACCCCAATACTTTTGCATTTACTTGCATTCTATTTCCATTGCACCCCAATACTTTTGCATTTATTTGCATTGATTTTGCATACTATTTCCTTTGCACCCCAATACTTTTGCATTTACTTGCATTTTATTTCCATTGCACCCCAATACTTTTGCATTTATTTGCATCAATTTTGCATTTTATTTCCATTGCACCCCAATATTTTTGCATTTATTTACATTGATTTTGCATTTATTTACATTGATTTTCCATTCTGTTTTCATTGCACCCCAATACTTTTGCATTTACTTGCATTGATTTTGCATTCTATTTTCATTGCACCCCAATATATTTGCATTTATTTACATTGATTTTGCATTTATTTACATTAATTTTGCATTCTATTTCCATTGCACCCCAATATTTTTGCATTTATTTGCATTGATTTCGCATTCTATTTCCATTGCACCCCAATATGTTTGCATTTATTTACATTGATTTTGCATTTATTTACATTGATTTTCCATTCTGTTTTCATTGCACCCCAATATTTTTGCATTTATTTACATTGATTTTGCATTTATTTACATTGATTTTGCATTGTTTTCATTGCACCGCAATATTTTTGGATTTATTTACATTGATTTTGCATTCTATTTCCATTACACCCCAATATTTTTGCATTTATTTACATTGATTTTGTATTTTATTTCCATTGCACCCCAATATTTTTGCATTTATTTACATTGATTTTGCATTCTGTTTTCATTGCACCCCAATACTTTTGCATTTATTTACATTGATTTTGCATTTATTTACATTGATTTTGCATTCTATTTCCATTGCACCCCAATATTTTTGCATTTATTTACATTTATTTTGCATTTATTTTCATTTATTTTGCATTCTGTTTTCATTGCACCCCAATATTTTTGCATTTATTTACATTGATTTTGCATTTATTTGCATTTATTTTGCATTTTATTTCCATTGCACCCCAATATTTTTGCATTTATTTACATTGCTTTTGCATTCTATTTCCATTGCACCCCAATACTTTTGCATTTATTTGCATTGATTCTGCATTCTGTTTCCATTGCACCCCAATACTTTTGCATTTATTTGCATTGGTTTTGCATACTATTTCCTTTGCACCCCAATACTTTTGCATTTACTTGCATTCTATTTCCATTGCACCCCAATACTTTTGCATTTATTTGCATTGATTTTGCGTACTATTTCCTTTGCACCCCAATACTTTTGCATTTACTTGCATTTTATTTCCATTGCACCCCAATACTTTTGCATTTATTTGCATTGATTTCGCATTCTATTTCCATTGCACCCCAATATGTTTGCATTTATTTACATTGATTTTGCATTTATTTACATTGATTTTGCATTCTATTTCCATTGCACCCCAATATTTTTGCATTTATTTGCATTGATTTCGCATTCTATTTCCATTGCACCCCAATATGTTTGCATTTATTTACATTGATTTTGCATTTATTTACATTGATTTTCCATTCTGTTTTCATTGCACCCCAATATTTTTGCATTTATTTACATTGATTTTGCATTTATTTACATTGATTTTGCATTGTTTTCATTGCACCGCAATATTTTTGGATTTATTTACATTGATTTTGCATTCTATTTCCATTACACCCCAATATTTTTGCATTTATTTACATTGATTTTGTATTTTATTTCCATTGCACCCCAATATTTTTGCATTTATTTACATTGATTTTGCATTCTGTTTTCATTGCACCCCAATACTTTTGCATTTATTTACATTGATTTTGCATTTATTTACATTGATTTTGCATTCTATTTCCATTGCACCCCAATATTTTTGCATTTATTTACATTTATTTTGCATTTATTTTCATTTATTTTGCATTCTGTTTTCATTGCACCCCAATATTTTTGCATTTATTTACATTGATTTTGCATTTATTTGCATTTATTTTGCATTTTATTTCCATTGCACCCCAATATTTTTGCATTTATTTACATTGCTTTTGCATTCTATTTCCATTGCACCCCAATACTTTTGCATTTATTTGCATTGATTCTGCATTCTGTTTCCATTGCACCCCAATACTTTTGCATTTATTTGCATTGGTTTTGCATACTATTTCCTTTGCACCCCAATACTTTTGCATTTACTTGCATTCTATTTCCATTGCACCCCAATACTTTTGCATTTATTTGCATTGATTTTGCGTACTATTTCCTTTGCACCCCAATACTTTTGCATTTACTTGCATTTTATTTCCATTGCACCCCAATACTTTTGCATTTATTTGCATCAATTTTGCATTTTATTTCCATTGCACCCCAATATTTTTGCATTTATTTACATTGCTTTTGCATTTTATTTCCATTGCACTTCAATGCTTTTGCATTTATTTGCATCAATTTTGCATTCTATTTCCATTGCACCCCAATACTTCTTGCATTTATTTGCATTGGTTTTGCATTGAGTTTGTCACCACCACCTGACCCCTCCCGACAGATGGCCCTGCAGCTTGAGCTTCCCCAGCCAAGGCTGAGCTTTGCCGGTGCCTTTCCCTGGAATGGTCTGCTCCAGCCTCCCCCTCCTTGGGCACAGAGTGGACCCTCCCAGCCTTCTCTCCTCCCTCCCCTTTTGGGGGCATGGCTTTGTCTCTGCTGCTGCTGCAGCAGGGGGGAAAAAGGGGGCTCCTTCCCCCCAAATGAAGGGGAACTTGGGCACTTTGGCAGCAGGGGCCCCTCTTTGCAACGTGGTGAGTGTTGCCATTGCAAAATGCAAAATGCAAAAATGCAAACTGCAAAAATGCAAAATGCAAAATTGCAAAAAGCTGCAAAATGCAAAAATGCAAAATGCAATTCTATTTCTATTACTTACTACAAAATGCACAATGCAAAATGCAAAAATACAAAATGCAAAATGCAAAATGCAATTCTATTTCTATTACTGCAAAATGCAAACTGCAAAAATGCAAAAAATGCAAAAAATGCAAAATGCAATTCTATTTCTATTACTTAATGCAAAATGCAAAATGCAATTATATTTCTATTACTTACTGCAAAATGCAATCCTATTTTTATTACTTACTGCAAAATGCAAAATGCAAAATATGCAAAATGCAAAATGCAATTCTATTTCTATTACTTAATGCAAAATGCAAACTGCAAATATGCAAAATGCAAAATGCAATTCTATTTCTATTATTTAATGCAAAATGCAAAATGCAATTCTATTTCTATTACTTACTGCAAAATGCAAACTGCAAAAATGCAAAATATGCAAAATGCAAAATGCAATTCTATTTCTATTACTTACTGCAAAATGCAAAATGCAAAATGCAATTCTATTTCTATTACTTACTGCAAAATGCAAAATGCAAAAAATGCAAAATGCAATTCTATTTCTATTACTTACTGCAAAATGCAATTCTACTTCTTTTACTTACTGCAAAATGCAAAATGCAATCCTATTTCTATTACTTACTGCAAAATGCAAAAATAGCAAAAAATGCAAAATGCAATTCTATTTCTATTACTTACTGCAAAATGCAAAATGCAAAAAATGCAAAATGCAATTCTATTTCTATTACTTACTGCAAAATGCAATTCTACTTCTATTACTGCAAAATGCAAAATGCAAAATGCAATCCTATTTCTATTACTTACTGCAAAATGCAAAAAATGCAAAATGCAAAATGCAATTCTATTTCTATTACTTACTGCAAAATGCAAACTGCTAAAATGCAAACTGCAAAAATGCAAAAATGCAAAATGCATGGAGGGCTATGGAGGGATGGAGGTCTGAAAGCTATGGGGCTTTCCATAGGGCCAACAGAGCCAGGCATGCAAATGGATCGGGTCAGAAGGGGGGTTCTGTGCAGTGCTATTATTATTATTATTATTATTATTGCCACACATGCAACAGGAGGAGGTCTGAATGGTTGTTGTTGTTGTTATCATGGCTTGGTCCAGTTGCCTAAGGAAACGTATGATGATGGGAGTGATGATGGATTGGTCCAATTGGTCAAGGAAACCTATATTATTATTATTATTATTATTATTATTATTATTATTGATAATTATATAGACTTCTTTGACCAATTGGACCAATCCATCATCACCCCATTATAATAATAATAATATCAATATATATTATATTAATACATTATATTATTATTATTATATTATATTATTATATTATTATTATTATTATTATTATTATTATGGGGATGATGATGGATTGGTCCAATATATATTATATATCCAATATATATATATTATATATAATATATTATATATATTATATATAATATATATTATAGTAATACATTATTATTATATTATTATTATATTATACTATATTATTAATAATAATATTAATAATATCAATATATATTATATATTATATTAATATGTATATTATATATTGATAATAATAATAATAATAATGTATTAATTAATAATGTATTAATTAATATAATTATATATTATATTAATATGTATATTATATATTGATAATAATAATAATGTATTAATATAATATATATTGATATTAATAATAATTTATAATAATAATAACAATAGTATTAGAAATGCAACAACATTAGTACACAGCAAACAAGATCACTATGCTGGCAGTTGTTGTTGCTGTTGTTGTTATTGTTGTCATCCTTACACTCTCTGCCTATGTGCCAATGGTTATCATCATCATCATCATCATCATCATCACCAGCTTGTCTCTTGCATTCTCTATCATGTCAATCATCATCATCATCATCATCATCACAGTCATTGTCTTGGCCCTTGCAGTCTCTGTCTCTGTCTGTTGTTGTTGTTGTTGTTGTTGTTATCATAATCATTCTCTTGACCCTTGCAGTCTCTGTCTCTGTCTATTATTATTATTATTATTATTATTATCATTATTATTATCATCATCATCATAATCACAATCATTGGCTTGGCCCTTGCAGTCTCTTCTATTATTGTTGTTGTTGTTGTTGTCATTATCATCACAGTCATTGGCTTGGCCTTTGCATTCTCTGCCTATGTCTATTGTTATCATCGTCGTCATCATCTCTGTCTGTTGTTGTTGTTGTTGTTGTTGTTATCATCATAATCATCACACTAATTGGCTTGGCCCTTGCAGTCTCTTCTATTATTGTTGTTGTTGTTGTTGTTGTTGTCATTATCATCGCAGTCATTGCCTTGGCCTTTGCATTCTCTGCCTATGTCTATTGTTATCATCGTCGTCATCATCTCTGTCTATTGTTGTTGTTGTTGTTGTTGTTGTTATCATCATAATCATCACACTAATTGGCTTGGCCCTTGCAGTCTCTTCTATTATTATTATTATCATCATCATCATAGTCTGATCTGGCCACGGTGGTCCACGCTCTTGTTTCATCCCGAATAGACTACTGCAATGCGCTCTACGTGGGGTTGCCCTTGAAGACCAGAAACTTCAACTGGTCCAATGAGCAACAGCCAGATTGCTCACCGGAGCGACATACAGGGAGCATACCACCCCCCTGCTGTGCCAGCTCCACTGGCTGTCCGATTCAGTTCCGAGCACAATTCAAGGTGCTGGTTTTGACCTACAAAACCCTGTACGGTTCCGGTCCAGTGTATCTGTCCGAACGTATCTCCCTCTACGTTCCACCTCGGAGTCTGAGATCATCTGGGGAGGCCCTGCTATCGACTCCACCACTGTCACAAGTGAGGCTGGTGGGGACGAGGAGCAGGGCTTTCTCAGTGGTGGCCCCTCACCTGTGGAACTCACTCCCGGGGGAAATCAGGGCATCATCATCCCTCCTCGCCTTTAGGAGAAGAGTTAAGACTTGGTTTTGGGCACTCCGGCAACTAAATCAGACAACCAGGCGAGTAAGACCAGCAGGATTGATGAAGTGGAACGTAAAACTAGATCTATGAGTAGCGAACGCTGACCATGTAAGAGGAGAAATTGGGTTTGTATTTGGTTTTATTGATTTTATTGATTTTATGGTCATAATGTATATTTGGTGTTAACTGTGTATTGATGTAATTTTGTGTTTGATTGTCTTTATGATGCAGGCATCAAATTGTGCCTTGCTTTTGTAAGCCGCCCTGAGTCCCCTTCGGGGTGAGAAGAAAGGCGGGGTAAAAGAACCCCAAATACATAAATCATAAATAAAAATCATCATTATTATCATCACAATAATTGCCTTGACGCTTGCAGTCTCTGTCTGTTGTTGTTGTTATTATCATAATCATCACAATCATTGGCTTGGCCCTTGCAGTCTCTGTGTATTATTATTACTATTATTATTATTATTATTATTATTATTATTATTATTATTATTATTATAATCATCACAATCATTGGCTTGGCCCTTGCAGTCTCTGTGTATTATTATTACTATTATTATTATTATTATTATTATTATTATCATAATCATCACAATCATTGGCTTGGCCCTTGCAGTCTCTGTGTATTATTATTACTATTATTATTATCATCATCATCATCATCATCATCACAATCATTGGCTTGGCCCTTGCAGTCTCTCTGTCTATTATTATCATCATCATCATCATCATCATCATCATCATCATCATCACACTCATTGGCTTGGCCCTTGCAGTCTCTTTTATTATTATTATTATTATTATTATTATTATTATTATTATCATAATCATCACAATCATTGGCTTGGCCCTTGCAGTCTCTGTGTATTATTATTACTATTATTATCATCATCATCATCATCATCATCACCATCACACTCATTGGCTTGGCCCTTGCAGTCTCTTCTATTATTATTATTATTATTATTATTATTATTATCATAATCATCACAATCATTGGCTTGGCCCTTGCATTCTCTGTGTATTATTATTACTATTATTATCATCATCATCATCATCATCATCATCATCACACTCATTGGCTTGGCCCTTGCAGTCTCTTCTATTATTATTATTATTATTATTATTATTATTATTATTATTATCATAATCATCACAATCATTGGCTTGGCCCTTGCAGTCTCTGTGTATTATTATTACTATTATCATCATCATCATCATCATCATCACACTCATTGGCTTGGCCCTTGCAGTCTCTGTCTCTGTCTATTATTATTATCATCATCATCATCATCATCATCATCAGAATCATTGACTTGGCCCTTGCAGTCTCTTCTATTATTATTATTATTATTATTATTATTATCATCATCATCATCATCATCATCATCATCATCATCATCACACTCATTGGCTTGGCCCTTGCAGTCTCTTCTATTATTATTATTATTATTATTATTATTATTATCATAATCATCACAATCATTGGCTTGGCCCTTGCAGTCTCTGTGTATTATTATTACTATTATTATCATCATCATCATCATCATCATCATCACAATCATTGGCTTGGCCCTTGCAGTCTCTGTCTCTGTCTATTATTATCATCATCATCATCATCATCATCATCATCATCACAATCATTGACTTGGCCCTTGCAGTCTCTTCTATTATTATTATTATTATTATTATTATTATTATTATCATAATCATCACAATCATTGGCTTGGCCCTTGCAGTCTCTGTGTATTATTATTACTATTATTATTATCATTATCATCATCATCATCATCATCATCACAATCATTGGCTTGGCCCTTGCAGTCTCTTCTATTATTATTATTATTATTATTATTATTATCATCATCATCATCATCATCATCATCATCATCATCATCACACTCATTGGCTT